CAAGTTTAACGTGTACCACCGGTGGTACACATGGCACGGAACGTGTTAATCTTGTCCAATAATTCCCAAACCCGATATATCTTCGAATTCGTTGAACAATCTTTGATTATAACTACGAGCCGATATCAGTTTTATATATATATATATATTATAACTATAATCTCGAATATATGATTATACGACTCGTATAATTCACTCGTCATCCTACAATTGAAATTTAATCTTTGTAATATCTTTTATGCAATTAAATAGCGATGTTCGATGGCGAAATGATCGAACGAGCACCGCCTCTATGGTGCGCCGCAGCCGCCGGATATTTGTCTTTGGTTAAATTGTTGGTGAAAAACGGCGCCTGGGTGAACTCCACCACTAAAACACATTCCACGCCTCTACGAGCAGCATGTTTCGACGGCCACTTCGAGATTGTTAAATTTCTGGTGAATCACGGTGCGGGTATGTATCACTGGGATACTTCTTAAGAGAAATCAGGATATCGCCATCAATCACCGAGTACCATTTTTGTAAAATAAACTCTGCCATCGAATTTTTATACTGTTACTACACGAAAGATTTGAAATTTTTTTTTTCCCCTTTACAATTACAGACATTGAGATGGCAAATCGTCACGGTCACACGAGTCTGATGATCGCCTGTTACAAAGGTCATATTAAAATCGTCAGGTTTCTACTTGCCTTGCAAGCGAACGTTAACCGAAAATCCATAAAGGGTAACACAGCACTTCACGATTGCGCTGAGAGTGGATCCCTAGAAGTCGTCAAGGTACTCATCGAGCATGGTGCCCGAATGGACGTGGACTCCTACGGGATGTCACCACTCCTTACGGCAGCAGTAACAGGTTAAACTAGAATGTTCCACGCGCAATTCCGAAGGTCCCCTTAAGACGATTACAATTACTGTTTAACTGAGTGTTTCATTACGTAAACGAAGGAAACACTCTAGTAGGAAGTGAATTATCGTAGTCTTTTTGATTTTACAGGCCATAGGCACATCGTCGAATACTTTATCCATATGCCGCGTTTAGTTAGTCGGAAGGAACGCATAGACGCATTGGAATTACTAGGCGCCACGTACGTAGATAAAAAGAGAGACATGATGGGAGCGCTTGAATGTTGGAAACGAGCAATGAACGAGAGGTTTGTATAAACACTTGTATAAACATATATACATAAATATGTGTATAAGTTTTTATGACATTCGGAGATTATTGAATTACTTTCATGTTAATAAATGTTGTTCATTTCAGATATTATGTTAATCCAGTGATACTGAAACCACCACCGTTGCTGGTTGTAGCTGCCTACGACTTTGCACGGGAAATTACCGATCCCAACGCGTTAGATGGATTACTAAATGACCCAGATGAAATGCGAATGCAAGCACTTGTAATTAGAGAACGAATATTAGGACCGGCTCATCCTGATACCAGTTATTACATTCGCTACAGGGGAGCGGTATACGCGGATGGTGGAATGTTCAGCCGTTGTATAGAACTTTGGAACTATGCCTTAGATATGCAGCAAAGTATGCTGGAACCACTCGATCCAATGACTCAGAGTTCGCTCTTTAGTTTTTCCGAACTCTTTAGCTTTATGGTAAATAGACAAATAAATACAGGGCGAAAAGTACCACCGGTCCACAAAAGAGACCTTCTTCAAGTGTTCAAGAAAGCTGTAAGTTTCCAGGATACTGTGTCTTATGGGAAATCTCGTTTGCAGATGGTAACATGTGTACATGTGTACGTATCATTTCAGGTTCTGGAAGTGAAACAAGGAAAAGAAATGTTGGACAGAGGATCAGCTCGCGGACGTGATATTGCGTATTTAAACAAAGTTCTCGTCATCACTTTACATCTAGCTAGTTTATTGTGTCACGAAATGCCAGAAAGCATTGTAGAATATGAAGCACTGCATCAGGCACTTTACGAGTTAGTTCAAATAAATGCCAAAGATAATAACGTAAGTTACGAAATAATCATTTGACTACATATGACAAGTTTGACCAATATAAAAATATAAACTCTTCTTTTTATATTCTTTTTGCAGGATCGGAATGTGTTGCATTTAATTTTTAGCGAAAGAGGTACCATATTCGGACCCGAGCCAAAATCTTCGACGTACCTGTTCCCTTCGGCGCATTTAATAAAGGCTCTCATAAAAGTCGGTGCTGATGTCACAGCAAGAGATGCAACCGGAAGCACAGTGTTACACCTTGCTGCCATGTTCTATCCATTACCCGATCTTATTGTTATTCTTCTTGATGCTGGTGCACATATCGATGCAGTTAATAAAATGGGTAACACGTTCGAAACATTGATATGGAGTAACAATACGTACGAGACATTTCTATGGAATAAACGCTTGTATAGTTCGGTGTATCCTGTAAAATACACTACACTCGCCTGTCTAGCAGCCAGAGTAGTGAAAAAAATATACGATATTAAGTTTGTTCCAAAACACCTTCAAGCCTTTGTTCAAATGCATTAGAGGTATTAGTGAGTTAAACAATGATCAGGATAGGCTATTGTTTAGGATGCCACAAGAGATGTTTATTCGTCTATCTAACCGATAAGAAAAATTTACGATAAAGTTTTATCTTTTTTCGAAAGTGCAAAATTAATATTAGAACATACTTCCGAATGAGAAAATACGAAATCTAAAGAGAATTGCTACTAATTGTACGTATAATGCGATGAAATGATGCTGTCAGTAATTTCTCGTTAGACCTGGATTTTAGATAATTCAAAATCACCAATACTCTACGCTATTT